AAGCAAATGAAGCAATATCCGATTGTATTGCATCAAACTAAACGTTTTAAGTTTTGTGACTTATCCCTTAGGGCTGAGAAGTGGCTGGTCATTAGTTTTCAAATACGAGGCTTTGTAACTTAGGGTAGAGGAAAACCTGCCCACCCGAACTTGAATACTTTTCTAAGAACTGAAAACATCGAAAGAGATATCTGTCTATATTTCTGAGATGAGGTATTATGTACACTATTTACATTATTTGGACAATTGTCCTCATCTTTGTCGCCATATTTATTACAACGTTTCGGCCGTTGTACGCTCCGGCCTTCTTCAGGTGGTTGGAATGTCGAACTGAACCCTTTATTTCGCTCACTGGGGTAGACTGTTTTAGTTCTACGTGCCATGTTTAATGGATGTCAGGTATTAGTTATCTCCTGTTAATTCCCCTTTGAATGTTCTCCACTGCCTTAACCGGGTATTGAACTCACACTCTTTGGGTCCTGTCGCTGGATCAAACCAACTCTGCCTTGAGGACACATGGCACAGTGAATAAAGAATAGTTAGCATTACTGTCGGTTGAAATTTAATTTTTTAAACAATATTTTCAGGATAATAGACAATCTCAAGTTCGCTGTTATCTTTCCTTTTAATGTCTATGGGAATTTCCTTGCTAACCTTTTGTTTAATGTATTATGGAAAGTCAACATTTTTCTTATATCCAGAATTTCCCTTCTAGATATATGTTCTACTCATTTCAGTTGCCTGTTGGAAATCTGTTTGAAGTGATATGTTTTTTGTTTTTTTTTGTTATTTGGTAACGCTCGTTGTTTGTGATTTTGTTACACGTGTCTGTAGAGTTTGAACGGGGAGTGTCTTCTTCATGAGTTGAAGGATTTATTTGAACGAAGCCATTTCTAATCATTGATCTGATCTGGGAAAATAGATGATAGTTTAGACATTTCTGGGATTATAAAAACATCATACACAAAAACAGTTTCGATAAATGCTATTAAACAAAAATATTCACCATTTGTAAACATTTTTGTTAGGAATCGAGTAATGCTGCACTAAGCACAACGGCTTATCAATATATAAACTATATACACCCACGCACACGCATTTTATTGATTTTATTCTAAACAGCTGGATGTGAAATTGAGAACAAGAAATTAGCGATCGGAGTTCGAATTCAAATCGTGTTTGATACATTCTCTTTGGCATAAATAAAATTAGGAAACAATGGGTCAAATAGTTAGAGTAGACTGGACTATTCAGCCTTGGTTGGCAACCAGTCTAGGAGAAGAAAACTTTGCTTTCTCAAACCCAGATAAATGCAACTCGTTAGAGTTGAAATCCTTGATCGTCTGAGGGAAAAATCCGACGGAAAATCAACAATTCCTCAGATTTTAATATGAAGTAATTGACCCCCACCTCATGAAACAATAGGATTCTCGAAACCTCATCAGAGGCCTTACGTGATACGAGGTACCAATTTAACAGCAAAATTCTATACATCCAGATTCAAACTGACACAAGTTAAAGAAAAAAAAAAGAAAAAAGAAAATAAACTTTTGTAAATTTGCGTGATTCCGATGGTTACTCTTCTCACAGACATTTCAAGAATATATACCAAGTTTGATCCTCACACACACTGTGTCTGTGTCAAACTTAGCTAAGTATATATCATAGAAAATGCTGTATATTGATAAATCAAACGATGATGTCAACGACTATTTACTCGGGCGTGCGTTTAATCATTGCTGCTTGCATCTGGTTCTCTGCCAACGTAAATTGAACCCAGTAAATATCTAGAAAGATTTATCGCAATTATAAAATGCTCTTTTATACTGCTAGTCAATCTGGTGAACTTATTCGTATTTAGTTACACAATACTTGCTCAAGGTATTCCTGTAGGAATGTCAGGATTTGACATGTGATCGCAAAGGTTAGTAAGCTTGACCTAGCGACCTATTTGCTAGCGTAACCAGTTCGATCTGCTGTATAAGTTAACTTACACCAGAGATTCCTTTCTCTGCAGTGCCGTGATTATTTTTGGCAAGGGCACTGGAAAAGGTTTCCTTTGTTTTCTTTTATCTAATGCCACGATTCTTCTGATTTATTTGTGTATTAGAATGGATTCTAGGGAAAGATAGTCAAGTAGTTTCCCGTTGCTTTCTCCACACTTTGGAATTCAGAGTAGGCTTTATCTTAGACTGACTGTCACCTAAAGCCGAGAGACCAGTCTACTTTATTGTTTAATCCATAATTGAAGGAAGAAATATGGATTCATACTTTTCTTAATGATATGTGTGCGAAGGGGAACTTAAAAAAAATAGAGCGGGATTTGAACTCGATCTGTTGATTCCAAACGGAAGAAAGTTTTGTTAAAACATAAGAAAGTGTTATGTACTGAGTGACATTGAAACGAGAAGGGTTAATACCGTGGGAAGAATTGAGGATTTAATTCACACATAAACGACTTTAATTGTATGTCGAGCAGTTTGAACAGTGGAAAAATGCCCCAGTGTTCTACGCAGCTGAAAATGTAAGCTGTTCACTTTTTGTAAACACCGAATTTAGAGTTGATTCCCATGGTCGAAAGTTGAGTTGAATACCAGGAGGGGGTGGATAAGCCACCCACGCACAGGAGATTTAGTGAGAGGTAATAATAATATGAGAGAGTTGGAGAAGGGAATTTCCCAGAATTATCGAATTCTCTTAGTTCGCGAGTTTGGGCGAATGTCCATAAATACGAATGGGCGAAGCGAATTAGGCAGAAGAGACGGAGACGAGACTCTGACAGAAGTGAGGCCCACGCTATTATGTGCCAACGAAAGCCTCCGACTTCAGCATTGTGCCGAACCTTACCAACAACAGCAAACCAGATTTTGCCAGGTGAACAATAATATCACTTCCGACTTAAGACGCGGGTTGGGCTGTTAATCAATTGCATGCGAACTCTGATATGAAACAATTATTGTATGGAGGACTGATATAAAAACAGTATATACTTTTGTTCAGTTTATTTCAGTGTTATTTTTTTTCTATACGACTTTGACCTGCTTGGACCAGCTTAACAAGAATAAACCTACGGCGATTCGATCTCGGTTGCCTTATGATCAAACTTCAGCGACCAGCCGCGGTGATGGAAGTCTTGGACGACCGGGGAGGGTGTTGCATTTTTGCACCACTAACTGTGCCAATAATCGTTACCCTACCAGCACATCATTTGCCTTCTCGATGGTTTCAATTCTAAACATTTCCAATCCACAATAAAGATAACAGTCTGCTATAAGATTTAACATAGAACTGGTCAGCTGAAATTGATATTAGTAAATACTGAAGTGCCTGCCGCAGCCCACTGACAAGGAAGGTCATCTTTTAGGCTATATACAAATTGCAATACATTCAATTCTCACTGAGTACTCTATTAATGGTACGTTGTGCCAATCTTAGCTATATGTAATATGCATCAGATTCAGTCTCAAGTGTAATAGGGAGGTGTATCAGGGAGATGGACATTTGGTCACGAGGCTGAAATTGATTTTTGGCGTGCTTAATCCGAAGACGAAACCCACATGATCGGATAATAGATCAGTCATTAAAAGAAGATCGGAAGTGAGAAGGGAAAATCATGATAGGGCAAAAGAAAAGTAGCTCTTTAATGGTTAAATTTCGCACGATCATCGTTTCGATATGTCTGTGTGAATGGAGCGATTCGTGATAAATCATGTTTTGGATACTTAAATGAAAACTTCTCTCGCTCTCTCTGACTGCAATGTCACCTCTTGGCACTTCTATTCGCCTGAAGACTACGCAGTCTAAAAGGTCCTCGGCAAGAATGCATATTTGAAGTGAATGTGTTTAAGTAGCAAACGAGGTTTTGCGATGTCGCAACGGTGGCTACCCACGTACCTACACCCACTTCCCCCAAAAAATAAAAAATAAAAATAATAATCGGGGAAATATTCAAAACAGAAAACAAACTTTGAAATGAGCGACATTCATTAAACATGCTAAAAGTTTTAATGTCAACAAGCATTTCAAGTTGCTCCATTTTTGAGTTGATCGTTTTTTATAACACCTAAAAAAACAAAACAAAATAGCTGACTTCAAGTGTTAAGGCCAAATCATGTTGAAAAACCGGTTCTCATACGATCACCAAAGTTAAGCAACGTCTAGCCTGGTCAGTACCTAGATAGGCTCTCAGTTGGTAATATTAGGTACTTTAATCTTGGAAGTGCGGGTGGTGAAATGGATAAGGATGCGAAATTGGAAATCAGTGTCGAGTTCCAATTCCAGCCGCATAAATACCCTTGGGAAAGGTATGAATCCACTTCTTTTCCCCAGCTATGGGTTAATTATTAATACATGTATTACGAAATCATTATTATCTCCCCACCAAATAAAAAAAAAATTACAATCTAAAATATATTATCTGGCTTTAAATAAATTGCAAAAGATTGATTGGCAATAGAAAGCAAATCAGTCAAAAAATGATGACTTCAAGTGACGGGGAACAAAGTATTGAAGACTTGCAAAAGATTTTAATCCTCATTGGGAAAAAAGCACCACAGTGTGCTCTCAGCTACACTGTGGTTCGACTTAAATAATTACTAGACAAAATATATCACATAAATTTGTCTCTTATGGTCAATAATAATTATATACAAACATATCCAATAACGAAAGCAAATACAATTTTTATATATATTAAAATCCACCTAATTCAAGGCTCGAGCGTCCCTCATGGCAGAAGGGTAGTGTTAAATTGGTAATATTGAATTTGATGTGTGATATGAATAAAAGAGGATGTATGGTTTTAAATCTGTGATGATAAAGAGGATTGAAAACAACTCACTCTTGACTTGATTGCAGTGTTTAGGAAAGCATCTACACGGGAGACTGTTACAAAATGTAGCAGTTCTTGGGAACTTCTTACATTTGAAAGACAGAGGAACGAATCGGATTCGACTAACGATTGTCTGATCTCACCAAAATGTTCTCTCACTGTACGATCAATGACTGCGACTGCGTCGCAGACTAAAAGGTCAAATGCAAATGGCTATGGTAGTAAACGAATCTCTTTTTTCATTACTAATACTAGTGTGTCAGCAATCGTCACTTATCTAGGTTGTTTATAGTAACGTACTGAGTGAAAGATCAAAGTCTCCCACAGAACAGGTTTTGCTGTTTTTGTGCGAACGTGTTGATAGTTTATGAAAATTACAACTTTACAAGTGGAATGATTAGTTCTACTCTAATTTGCTTGGTGGGAATGATTTTTAATATAAATGAATACTTGTGTGGTGGTATGCGTTTTGGTATGGTAGACATTATACGATTTTAAAATCAATAGCAATTATCCATAAATGCTTATCTAGTCAGTATTTAAAAACATTAAAGTATCTGAATGTTTTCGTTTTCAACTTGCATATATTTGGGTTGATTTACTTGATGAAAAAAGTGTGAAAATAATTGGAACAGTCGTTCTTCGCGGGCGTAAGTTGAATGAAAAAAGCAGATTTAACCACGTGATATTCTATCTATCTATCTATCTATCTATCTATCTATCTATCTATTATCTATCTATCTATCTATCTATCTATCTATCTATCACTACATCATATATATATATATATATATATATATATATATATATATATAATATTTCAGTCAGTTAACATCTATCTATCTATCACTACATCATATATATATATACATACATATATATATATATATATATATTATATTTCAGTCAGTTAACATCTATCTATCTATCACTACATCATATATATATATATATATATATATATATATATATATATATATTATATTTCAGTCAGTTAACATCTATCTATCTATCAATCTATCTATCTATCTATCATATATATATATATATATATATATATATATATATATATATATATATATATATTATATTTCAGTCAGTTAACATCTATCTATCTATCTATCTATCTATCTATGTCTCTGGTTCTTTCTCTGTCTCTATGTATATACATATATATTATATGTCAGTTTGTTACCATTTATCTATCTATCTCAATATGTTCATAAGTATGTATGTATGTATCTATGTATGTATCTATTTATTTGTATGCATGTTTCTCTGTATATATTAAATATGTATGTTTTAATTATGCATGTCAATATTTTCGCAATACTATTGATTTTAACCAAATGATGTTGCTTAGAATTTTAGGATATACTTATGTGATACATGTATAACTATTCTACGCGAATATCAAGTTCTCATATATATTTATTAAAAATCTTGACAATAAGTTGTTTTGGTCCTGTCAACTTTTCCGATACAAAGTGTATAACAAACTTTCATTTATCATAATGACAAATTATATAAGCCACAGTAATATATTTGATTAACTTAATATCCCATCCTCTTCATTGAAATACTTAATTAATTTACGTTATAATATGAGCCATTTTTTATACTGTTCCCATTACTTGCAGCAGTTTTGTTTGCTTTCCAGAGATCGTCTTTCTTTGAATATTGGCTTCCCCAGATCTCACTACGGCTCATCTTGCCCAGAGGTTTTTTGAAGATAACAGACTAACGGAATAAGCTTCAGTCACTCTAGATCCAATTCAATCAATATTCTATTGGTTTAAATATCATGTTCTATATGTGGTTCATCACCAAAAAATGTCTACGTGAATGCAAATCAATATTTAAAGAATATACGTAGAGAAAAAAAAAAGGATGTAGAACATTAATTGAAGTCATTAAATTAACTAAACTAACGCGTTTAAGTGACCATCACACATTTTATGTTGGGAAAAGCATTGGATCAAAACTGATTTGTTAACAGTAATTTTCAGCCCTCTGTGTACAGCTACATGAGATGAACCAGACGTTTCTGCTTGAGGTTGGATTCTTCGCGAAATTAGTTAATATAACTACAAAAACGGACAGAGATTTGGAGCAATGTTTTCTACAATTAAGCTAGACAGTAAAATTATTGTTCCTTTTTAAACTTCACGGGGAATAGCCATGCCGTTTACGTAAGATCAAATGATATGAAGTTTCTTCGTATTCCATTTGTAACGAAGAAGCATAACTCAGAAACCTTCTTCCTGAAAACCACTACTTTGTGCAACATACTCCTGCGAGGATGCTTTTCCGTTCATTACAACCATAACCTTATCAAGTCTAAGGTCAACTGTTATCTATCCTACGTATATTAATAATGTGCATTTACTTCCACCTCTTAAGTCTATATAACAACCTCATTCAGTTTACCTTTAATAGCTATGGGGTTTTGTATTGGGTCAACATTTCTTAAAGAAAAAAATGCTGAGATTACTTGTAAGCTGTTGGACAAGGTATTTTTGAGTATTACAAGTCCCAACTGATTAGGTTTAATCTAAAGCATTTGTTCATGCAAGCCAGTGTTCCAGCACATTCCTCAAATCTTACGACTATCCATTTTGCTCACAGGCTTTTGAAGGTATCAGATTAACAGAATAACCTCCAGTCTCTCTAGATCCAATTTAACCAATATCCTGTTGGTTTAATTTATATATTCTCTGTGTGATCCATCATCAAAAAATATCTTTGAAAAGGGAAGCCAATATTGGTTATTTTCGCGAAGAACCCAATCTTGAGCCTAACCCTCAGGTCCATGTCATGTAACCATACACTGCAAATTATTGCCAAGAAATCAGGTATGATGTAATTCTCTTCCCAACTTAAAATTCGTGATGGTTACTTAAACGCGTTAGTTTAGATAATTTAATGCCTACAACTGATTTTCTATTTGTTTTCTCTCCATCAACATTCGCAAGACCAGCTTCTATTTCATCCTCCCACTAAGTTCGGCAATAAAGCCACTCAGACAACATTACTGAGTGGCTAAGAATAAGAGAAAAAGAAATACATTATTACTGAGAGAGAGAGAACAATAAGCGAACAGCATAAGTAGACAGACAATAATGATTGATACTGTGTTGAAAGTTTTAAAAGTAAAAGTTAACTGGAAGTTTTTGGTCAAACCATTTTCTTGCTTTTTGCTCTCTTGCGTATTATCCGTAAGCTTAGGGTCATATCAAGTTCAAAACAACGGTTCTCGTTCCACCCCCGAAGTTAAGCAACGTCGAGCCTGATCACCATTTAGATTGTTGACTGTTTGAAAATATCAGGTGTTGTAAGCTTAGATGTGTTTTTGGTTTGATGGATAACGGCACGGAAGGAGGAATTGAAAAAAACGTGATCTAATTCCAGTCGAATTCATTACATTCACTTACGCCCAAATACCTTGGAAAATGTAGGGTTCTACTTCTTCTACCCCCCTCCCACGACTATATGTTGAATAATAGGGAAGAGTGTGTCATCAAGTTTGGTTGATAACTAGTCTAGGATAAAGGAGAAGCCTGCATTTTTTAAAAAAAGCGCTTGTGTTCAAAATCAGCTATGGATGAAGTAGCAGAGTAGGCTGAGCTCTTTTACCTTGGATGGCAGCCAGTCTAGGAGGATATCTTTGAAGTCAAATACCGTATGTATCCCTAGTGGATTGCATACTAATGAAAGGATTATTCCGATTGCGTTCGGCCCTATTTCTTTACTTTTTTCGGTTACCTTTTCTGGGCATTCTTAAAACTATTTTCTTTATTTGGTCTTATCAATATCCCACTTTATTGTTTGGGGGCGGGGGGTGGACTCTAATATTTAACTTGATCGCAAAGATCGCTCAGGTACTACAGTGACATCCAATGCAGTGTGGCGATGAATGACAATCTTAAGTGATATATTTTATAACCATTTAGGAATAGTTAACATCAAGAGAAGACCTAATTTACATTGTTATTTAAAAGCCATAAACATATAATCTGAAGTCTGTCTGCGCTGGCAGAAATATATTAAATTGTGTACACAATACCACAAAAACATTTATTTCTACGCTAATGTATTTGATATATCCACAAGTATAAATTTACTGGGTTTAAGAGCATTCAAAAATTTTCAGCGTTCGTTGCATTGATTTGCACTGAAATATCTTTGGGAAATGTACGAATCCATCTGCTCCTCCAGTTATGGGTTAAATATTAGGGCTTGTATGTGAAAAAGTCACTGCTATTCTCAAAAATGTTTAATGCAATATTCACTTACAAAATATGATTATTATTTACAATCTAAAATAAGTTTCGGCTTTAAATGAAATTCAAAGAGTTGATAAACCATAAAAAGTGAAACAAATCAGATCAAAGTATCGTTTATATGTTACATGCAAATCATAGTGTATAAAAGTATCATATGAATATAAGGTAGTCAATTAATATTCAGTGTAGCAGATATTGATTTAAAATATAAACATTATGTAAAGGTTCTTTGTATGTATGTTGAATATATTGCTTGTAATTTTGTGTGTGTGAGCTTGTGTATGTATGTAAATGTGTGGGCATGTAAATGAGTGTATATGTGTGTTTATATGGATATAGACAGATACAAACAGAGTAGAAAACATTATATGTTGACTGGCGAATTCACTGATATGAGATTCCCGGTTACTATGTAGACTTGATTTCTATGTGTACATTTTTTTATAAACACGTTTTATGAACACGTTTTATGAAAACGTTGTTTTTATGAATACGTTGCTTTATAAAGCCCCGGAAGAGTAACTCATTGCACTTAGTCTAAAGTTTTTCAATTTCTATGAATTAGAATGATTATAACGAGTCAATTGCGAAGTCTTTCTGCTGGGAAAAGTTGGTTCCTATGCTAGACAATGTTTCTCACCTGAGTCTGTCTTGCAAATTCTCTCATTCGTCCATATATTAAAAATGGTGCCGAATCAAGATTAATGTTTTTGCTATGTATCTAGAAGTTCTGGACAAATTCCAAAATGAATCTTCAATGATATCAATGTTGACCTAGCATGTCAGCTTCAGTTCTTTTCTCATCGTCGTAACTTGGCTTCCTGTGACATTTCTACAGATATTTTTATGGTAATTGTTTTTAGGAGCTTTCTTCTTTGGAAACACGACTTGTACTAATTCTACCAATGTATTGTGTTTATCCCCTTCCATCTTAGTGGCTTTATCGCCTTGCATGGGATGAATTTTCCTTTAAAAACTACAGGATTATAAGACACAGACTATAAGAAAAAAATGTTCATTACATAACACCCAAAAAAGCAACCTAAGATCATTTTAAACGCATATATATATATATATATATATATATATATATATATATATATATATATATATATATATATATATATATACGTATACGTACTTTCACCTGTAGTTATTCTGAACTGTAAATGCAAGGATATTAGAAATAGTTCATGGAATGGAATATATTTAAATAGCTCATATATTTGAGATATTTAAATTATATATATATATATATATATATATATATATATATATATATATATATATTTTTTTTTCTGTTTTATACTCACTAGGGAAATATGCACTTTGGTTAATTGCCATATTGCTTTTTTTTGCTCTAGTTTTAGTAATAAATTTCATTTTAGTCTTCGTTCCTCACTTTACCCTCCCGTATATACTTGGGTTTCGGTGTGCGACTTTGTTTCATTTTGTTTATTTATGGGCGTACCTACGTATTTTGCTTCTGAAGTGTTGTTCAAAAATGAATCCCTTAAAGAACGCGTTTTTGTATATTTAAGGTAACATATATACAAATTCTGTGGTTTTAAACTTTTGTTTATATATATATATATATATATATATATATATATATATATACATAAAAGCTGCGATTGGTAAATTGTCGCTATTTCATATTTTTAGTCTCGTGCATGCGCGTTGTTTGGTTCTGATGTTGTTGACTACAAAGTTTTAGTAGGGTCAGTTGGGCGCCGTTTGTGAGAAAAAAGATCTCCATGAATCAATTCACTCCGAATTCAGAAGTTTAGAAACTGCAATATATCCCTTTTGCCATTCGCGCCGGAAGACCCAATATGGACCTTTGAGAGTGTTTGGGCGTCAATCTGAAGAGAG